AATTTCCTTTGGAGAGAACAGTTACATTCTCAGTTCTAAAAGTGGACACTGATTCAGTTCAGTTCAGTCATTCAGTTGTGTCCGACTCTTTGTGACCCCATGGACTGCAGCACGCCAGGCTTCCCTGTCCATCACCAGTTCCCAGAGCTTGCTCAAACTCATGTCCATGAGTTGGTGATGCCATCCAACCATCTCATCCTCTGTTGTCCCCTTCTCCTCCTGCCTTCACTCTTTCCCAGCATCAAGGTCTTTTCCAATGAGTCAGTTCTTTGTATCAGGTGGCAAAAGTATTTGAGTTTCAGCTTTAGCATCAGTCCTTCCAGTGGATATTCAGTACTGATTTTGACGGGTTTGATCTCCTTGATGTCTTACAGAGTCTTCTCCAGCACCACAGTTCAAACAGGACACTGATCGGCTTAAGCTAATAAACTCAACCCTGGCTAGATATTAGAACCAGTGAGGAACTATTTTAAAATATCTGTGCATGGGACCCACCTCTCAGAGCAACAAAGTCAGAATCCTTTGAAGGGGTACTTGGCTTGAAATCCAATAACATAAGCCAATCAGCATATCCCGCTGGCTCAAGGATTGGCACATAACCCAGCTCAAGCCAAGTAGATGCAGCAATTTTTCATTTTATGCCCTCTGTTCTCTTTGTGATTATATTATTTGTATAATTAAAAATAAATTAATCTCTTTTGAGGTTGCTCCTGAAAGTATAAGATGATTTTAAAGTATGGGTCATCTATTTTAGAGTTCATTTCTTTAAATGTACAAATCTCCAGGAAGAAGTAAGAAGTATTGTTTAACTGTGCCATGTATCCACAACCTCACAATAATACAGAATAAGTGTGAATAACATGTTTTATGTATGAGAAGATGACCCCTGGAGCTTGAATCAGAGCTCCAGGTCAAGAGCAGCTGCAGGAGAGCTGGCTCCTGACGGTGGAAGCCGATTGTGGTTTGCTCTGCTTTTCGTGTTTGACCTCAGCCTTCTTCTCTAGCAGCTCTAATCTGATCTGGCCAGCAACTAGAGAGGAGAAAAACCTCAAGGATTCAGCTAAGTATCTTCAGTTGCTCTTTTTCAGATGTTTTTGGGTTTGACTTGGTTCCTAGATATCTTGTGAAATTAAATTTGCATGATTTTTTTGATTACACCTCTGCTGATGTACTCATTGTTTAACTTTCAGGCCACAGCATCACAATGACCACATTGCATTACTTCAGAAATTATGAGTAAACAAAGATTGTTTTAGAAAATAAAAGTTTAGCTTTTGATGTCTAATAAATTTGAGTGTCAGGTCACTTGTGAAGAATATTTGACTTGTTATTTTCAAGTTATTTATCTGAAGAAAACTGGTGCAATTTTTACAATGTAGAAGGATATCATAAGACTCGTTTTCTCTAATACTAAGGAATAAAGGAGTTAGTTTCTTTAGTTGTGGGTAAGATTTTGTTCATCACCGTTTCTTATTTGCTACATTTAGATTCTGTTCTTTGGGATCATATATTAAAAAGAAATTCAAATCCCCTCTTATCATTTGTTTTTTCAAAAACCAGTTCTTTGTTAAAACTCTGCCCAAGTTACTTCTGGTTTTAGAGCTTTAAGTTTTGCACAGAGCTTTCAGATGCTTTCATATATGATTATCCATGACTATTATGTCAAAAGAAGACAGTGGATAATGTGGATTTATGAAATGCACAGTTTCATTCTGTTAATCTTAGCAGGCACTTATCACATGTATCCATCCTCAGCAGATTTACAAATGTTGCATTGTTGCTTCTCCTTGACAGTTTATCAGAGGAACAGACAGTGAAATGGAATGAGTTTGTGTAACATTAAGTGTTAGTGTTTAGGAATAGCAAAATAATCGACAAATGGACAGCAAGAAAAGAAAGATTAAAAAAAAATCTGAAGCCTGGATTACCCAATGATGAATGTGTGTCTGAAAAAGAGAGATTTGGCTACACTTAATTCAGGACATAAGTTCTGACCATAAGCCCAAGTAGCTAAAGAAAAATTAGCAGAGACTTTCCATTGCAATGTAATGAAGCCACCTAGTGGTTTGTTAGATAATTTAAGGTTATGTGAATGTAATAAGTGTCTTACTTGTGAATTGATTGGGTGGGTCTCTATCAAGCATGAATAGGACTCTGATCACTTGTCACTTAGTCTGGCAAGGAGGGTCAGTTTCATTGAGAATAAGCACAGCGCTACTCTGTGTAATCTTTTATATATTTATAATCTTTTTTTAAATCATAAAGGACTTAAGTTAACTCACATGAAACTACAATGCTAGAGCACAAACTAGAAAAGAGAAAAAAAAAAGATATAAAAAGTGGTAAAAATTTCTGATAATTCAAAAATGTTTACAAGATTCTGTACATTTTCCATGATAGGACTCTATGTTTTCAGGAAAGCATGGAAACCGATCAGTTATAAAAATTCAGTGCTCAAAACAGTGAAATAATTTTGGGGGAAAGCAAAATCCTACCTGATGTCAAGAACAGAGAAATGTTTTTCTGAAGGTCCTCACCGATGAGGTACTGCCTCATGTCATGTATAATACCCTCAGTCCTTGTAATGGAAATCATCCCGAGTCTTGGAATATTGTTTCTTAGCTGTGCCTGCACTGCTTTGGAGGAGAATGTGCACCAAGCTCTGTTTTCAGGGCTTGCATTAAAGCATTTGATCCTCATAATAAGCCCGAGAGGAAGGCGGTATTATTATCCCATACTGCAGATTAGGCCAGTGACATGCTGTGTCACTTTATGAACCTGCCCAAAGTTAGGCTGATAGTGAGAATGGAACTGGAATTCAAACCCTTTGCGCTTTTTTCCAAGATGCTGTGTATACTGAATGACACATCCGGCGAAAATGGCAGTGCTGTACTGAATACTTAGACGGTCTGTAGGGCGTTGGTAGGAGCGCTTTAACATGGTGCTCAGGACATGGTGTGGACTGCACATTTCTGAGATGACCCAGCTAACGTTGCCCTCCTGTGTCACAGGCTTCTCCCTGACTCCAGTCCCTGCACACTCATGCATATGCATGTGCATACACACCTTTGATCAAAAACAGAGGACCAGGCAAGAGGATTCAGACTCACCAATTNCTATACAGCAGGCTCTTCTGAGTTGTCTATCACCTATATATGTCAATCACCATCTCCCAATTTATCCTCCCCCACCCCACCCCCGGTAACCATAAGTTTCTTTTCTACATCTGTGACTCTATTTCTGTTTTGTAAGTAAGTTCATTTGTACCCATTTTTTTTTAGATTCTACATATAAGCGATATTATATGATATTTGTCTTTCTGTGTTTGACTTATTTCACTCACTATGATAGTCTCTAGGTCCATCCATGTTGCTGCAGATGGCATTATTTCATTCTCTTTAATGGCTGAGTAGTGTTCTGTTGTATACGTGTACCACATCGTCTTTATCCCTTCCTCTGTCCATGGCCGTTTAGGTTGTGTCCATGTTTTGGCTGTTGTGAATAGTGCTGCTGTGAACATAGGGCTCCATGTATCTTTTTGAACTATAGTTTGTGAAATCCATGACCTTCTGATGGCTTTGTACCTTCAGATACAAGATTTAAAATGCAGTCATAACCAAATCTGCTTTATTCTGCTAGTTTTTCTTTCTTAGAGTGGTATCTATAAATGTTTGGGAATAGCAGCTAAATTGATTTCTCTTAACCAGTCATGAAAGTTGATTAGGGATGAGCAAGGCAAGCCTGGCATCACTGAAATGTTTTCAGTTAGAGGAGTCAAAATACCATATAATCTGAGTCTCAACTTGAGCATTTAGAATGATGCTCTTTTAAGCTGTACTTTAGCATAATTGTGTGACTAATTTCTTGCAAAGCAGAAAAGATATACTCTATAAAATGAATTTTCCATATAGATAAGGCTCCTTGAAAACAAATTTCCATGGTGTTTAAAAGAAATCCGTAGCTCAGTAAAGATTCTAATGTTCCTGAAAGATTTAAGTTCTGTTTGAGGAGCTGAAGCTCAATATTTTGGCCACCTGATGTGTAGAGCCGGTTCATTAGAAAAGACCCTGATGCTGGGAAAGATTGACAGCAGCAGAAGAAGGGGATTACAGAGGATGAGATGGTTGGATGGCACCACCAACTCAATGGACATGAGTTTGAGCAAGCTGCAGGAGATGGTGAAGGACAGGGATGCCTGGCATCCATGGGGTTGCAAAGAGTCGGATATGACTCAGTGACTGAACAACACCAATGATGACCTACTACCCATAAGGTTGAAGTATTCAGAAAGATAACCTTTTAATAGTTCTGCTGAGTGCTTGAAAGTTTATCCTGTCTTGGGAATATAAATGAAAGAGCAATGCTGTAATACGATAAAGGAAACATTGGCTGGAAATCAAGAAACTTGGGATTCCCAACTCCACTGTATTCTGATAGCAAAGGAAGATACAAATTCTTTTGGTGTCATTTTTTCTCAGAAAGTTCTGAGTCAGACCTGGGTTCAAATACCAATTCCAGTACCTATTAGTTGGATGATATTGTATTAGCTAGGTAAACTTTCTGGGTGTCAGTTTATTTATCTATAAAAAGTCTTTAGTAATACTGTGCGCAGGTATTTTATATATAAACGTATGCAGATATTTTATATATAAAAGTTTTTTTTTATACCTTCAATCTTTATAACATTCTTGAATGGAATATTCACTGTTGTTATCCCCACTTTATAGATGCTATCACTGTAGTTGGGAAATTAGATAATGTGAAGACATTAATTAGGATAGTTTCTGAGATGTGTTACGTCACCTGGTACATGATATTCCAGACATGGAGGTGATGTATTTCTGCTGACTTCATCTCACCCAACTCCTTCTTCCTTTTGGGATATGCCTTGAAGATTAGTGAAGGGGAGAACCACATGCATTAACAAGTTAACTTTGGGAATTAGATAGAGATTTAGGCCAAAGTGTAAAAATAAAACTGAACTTTAATTTTTCCTACAGGAGTGGCAAAAACTCAATTACGATATCTACACCCTGCGGCAGATTCGAAGGGAAGTGAGAGGTAGATGGAAACGCATTTTAGAAGATTTAGGTGAGTCTAAAAGTGATTATAAAATGGCAAAAATACCAGTTGTGGCTATTCCTCTTTACTTTCTCCAGCCTGGTTTTTATAAAAGGAATGTCGGTGACTGACTGATTAAGGCTACTGTGTACTAATTGTTTTCCCAATGCCATCCTCTCTGTATCCTCCGGCATACACATCTGATGTTTCTTTTATCATCAGCCCTTGTCTTGAGGACATATTTTGCCATGTGTTACCCCATCTGTCTTCAGTATCAAGTAGCACAGGGCAGTAAAATCATATGGGACATTCATTTAATCAAGATCATTGAATTGGGGGGCACTGTACATTGATTGATTTAAATGGAGTGATTTGCCAGTTACTCATAGATTTATAGATAGAGCAGATTGGGAGAAATATTATTTGTAAGAGAGGCAGCAAATACCTCTAATAAGAGTAGCTACTGGGTATTGATTTTTCTTAATTCTGCCAGGGTTGTAATTCAGTAAATATGGCCCTCACATGATAAAGAAGCTTGTTTTCATGTTCAGAAAAAATNTGCACTCCATAGGTTGCAGAGGTGGACACAACTGAAGTGACTCGGCAGCAAGAGCGGGGAGGGGGGCTGTAATTTAGCCGATAGAACACGAGATTTCCTATTCCATGAATATAATTACAACCAATAAAAAGTATTTTTGTTTCCTTAACGGGTCCCCAGGAAGGCAGAGTGGACACATTGACCAAAGTGATAAAGGATGCTTTGGTGAGGAGTCACTAACATCACTGAAAGCTTGGTGTATCCCTTAGGATGGGCTGTTCCATAAATGAGCTCACTGGTAGCAGTGGGGATGGAAGAAGAGGGGCCCAGTGGCAGGCTTCACCATCAGAAGCCAAGTGGGCACAATTATATGAGTGACCAGATCTGAAGAGTACCTGTAGAGAGATTTGGCGATGGCTGAGGGAACATGGCCTCTCTAGGGGCAAAATAAATGGGTAGCCAATAAGAATATTCACATTTTACCATCAAAAGATCTCAAGGACAAGGCTAAGAATCCAGCTTGCAGTGCAAGGGACACCAGTTCGAACCCCGGTCCCGGAAGATCCCCACGTGCCACGGGACAGTTGAACCCGAGAGCCGTAACTACCGAAGCTCATGCACCCTGGAGCTCGAGCTCCCCAACAAGAGAGGCCACTGCAGTGAGAAGCCTCCTGCTGCCAGCTAGGGAGTAGCCTCCGCTTAACTGTGACTAGATAAGGCCCTGGCATAGCAACGAAGACCCAGCACAGCCAAAAGTGTATGAATATTCAGAAAAAGATTAAAAGATCTCAAGGATGGATGATCAAGAGATAAGCAGGACACAGATACAGCCAGTTGAATAAAAAGTTACGATTTCTTGCCAGCTTTCCAGACTTGGACTCTTTTCCAGACCCAGAAACCATGGACTGAAAGACTGGATCTCTGAGAAGGAAAACTTTGAAACATCACTGCAAGGGGACATGGCAATGCTTCCCCTAGTCCTCCCTCAGAAGGACCTGTGCTTATTAACTGGGATAACTACACTAGGGAAAGGAGTCTACACAGACACACTGCGGACGGGGGACGCAAGGTCCAAGTGGACGTAGACACCCGGGGGCAGGAGAATCATTACAGTGTGCGGTTTAGAGTGGGGCACGTGGAACGCAGATAATAACTGGAGTCCTACCCCACTTGCCTGGTAGCTCAGATGGTAAAGCTCCTGCCTACAATGCGGGAGACCTGGGTCCAATCCAATCGGGAAGATTTCCTGGAGAAGGAAATGGCAACCCATTCCAGTATTCTTGCCTAGAAAATCCCATGGACAGAGAAGCCTGGTAGGCTACAGTCCATGGGTTGCAGAGTCAGACACGACTGAGCGACTTCACTTCTGATCCCGTCTCTAACTCACAGTCAGTCAATTGAGTTCCTGGATCTACCCAGTGGTCATCTCCCCAGTTCCAGATTAAATTCCTGGATGGAACATACTTGGGACTTGGCAGAAGCAACATTTGTGTTTTGGCCTATGGGTTAAAAACCAACCTACTGAGAAAGCTAAGTAGAAGACTCTGAAACTGCTTCACTCCCTGGCCAAGATAGTAAACCCAAATTAACATTGGATTCCAGAAAGACAACAGAGATTAGCACCCTTAAAGACCTAAAGGATGCAGGAGTGTCGGTCCTAATTATAATTCCGTTCAATTCACCACTCTGACCCTGAAACCAGATAGATATTGGAGAATGAAAGTGAATTATTGAAAATTCAACTAAGTAGAAGCCTTAACTGCAGCTACTGAGCTAAATGTGGGATCTTGGTGAGAGTAATTAACAAGTCTCATCTACAATGTGGGTATTGATCTGGCAGATGCATTTTCTCCATACCCATCAGAAAGGAAGGTCAGAAATTGCATTCACTTGAGACGTCTAGACAACAGTATGCATTTCTGGTATTGCTCCAGAGCTAAGACTCTCCTACCCTTTGTTATACTAAAAAGGATCTGGACCCTCTGGATTCTGCAGAGTATCACTTTGGTTACTATATGGTAACATTAGATAAATGGTAAAATTAGATAAATTGGTAACATTAGGTCTGATAAATGCAAAGTGGAAAATGCACCAGAGGCCTTGAAGAAAGACAGTTCAGAGGATGAGAGAGAAATTCTGCAGTCTCAGGAGCCTGTCACTTCATTGCAGTTCTTAGGGGTCCAGCAGTCTGCGGTGTGCTGAAACATCCCCTCAAAAGGAAGGTTGAGTTACTTCGTTGTACACCTCTCAGGAGCCACCAAAATGCCAGGTAGGCCTCTATGTTGCCTCCTGGAACTACCCCTCATCCCATTGAACTGGATGATGTGAGAAGCTGCCAGCTCTGAATGAGGTCCAGGGCAGGAAAGCGCTCCCAAGCAGGTCCGGGCTGTGGCCAAGTGGCCTGACACGTGTAGCTTAGGACCCTGCAGACCCATCAGTATTGAAAGTTGGTGATGAAAAAAAGATGTCATGTGGAATTTATGGACAGCTCAATAGGAAACTGACAATACAGACTCCAAGAGTCCTGGAGTTGAGGTCATGCCATTTTCAAGGGATGATTACATATTACTTGAAAAACTGCTCATCATGGATTGGGTTTTTGTCAGACCCATGAAAGTGTAAGGTCAAATCTAACAGCAATCTATTTTTTTTTCTGTTATTTTTCAACATAAGCTATTTAATTTTAGAATAGTTTTAGATTTCCAGAAAAGTTGCAAAGTAGTGCAGAGCTTTCCCATATGCCTCATGTCAGTTTTCTGTTACTAACATAGCATTGTACCTGGGGCTTTCATGGTGACTCAGACAGTAAAGAATCCACCTGCAATGCAGAAAACACAAAAGACGAGGGTTTGATCCCTGGGTCAGGAAGATCTGGAGTAGGGAATGGCAACCCACTCCAGTATTCTTGCCTGGAGGATCCAATGGACAGAGGAGCCTGGCGAGCTACAGTCCATGGGGTCTCAAAGAGTCAGGCATGAATTTTAACTAACGATAACAATAGTACCTTAGAATGGTACATTTGTTATATCTAATGAACCATTATCAGTGCATTATTATTAACTAAAGTCCCAAGTGTATTCAGATACCTTAGTTTTTATCTAATGTCTCTTTCTCTTGCAGGATCCCATCCAGGACATGGTATTGTATTTGAAAGAAAGTGAAAGTGTTAGTCGCTCAGTCATGTCCAACTCTTTGAGATCCCATGGACTTAGCAAGCCAGTTTCCTCTGTCCATGGGATTTCCTAGGCAAGAATACTGGAGTGGATAGCCATTTCCTTCTCCAGGGACTCTTCCCAAACCAGGGATGGAACCCTGGTCTACTGCATGGCAGGCCGATTCTTTACCATCTGAGCCACAAGGGAAACCTGTGATGGTTTCTCAGACCTTCCCTGCTTTTGGTGACCTTGGCAGTTTTGAGGAGTGCTGTTCAGGAACCTAAGAGGGGAGAGATGCGAACCTAAGAGGGGAGAGATGCTAAGTATTGGCATGGCTTTGAGACCAGCTGTGGCAGTGGGGCTGTAAGTCATCCAATTAGCCTTTCTTCAGGAAAAGAAATACACCAGATTTCAGGAGGAGTCTCTCCCATGAAAAGCAAACAGTTCAGGCAGCACGGAGATGCTGTAGTCTGCCCTCTGTCGGACAGAAATATCCATCCCCTCCCCTGCTGGCAGTGTCTGAGTTACTGGTGTCTGAGATCTCAGCCAGGTCTCTCTGTAGCAATTGCCATCAACCAGTTAGAGCTGCCTTGTCCAAAGTTGTCCCCCCATTCAGCCCATCCTGCCTCTACGGATGAGTTAGCTGGTGCAGAGGTGGGAAGGGTTATCCTCGCTCTGGAGCTCCCCACTAGATTGATGGAGCCTTTTGTTACGACATCTCAGTAACAATTTTCCCAACCCTGCTGTACGTATTTGCTTGCAAACTTCTTGCAGGCCAGTCTCCATTTCAGAATCTTTTTCTCAGGAAACCATATTCTGACAGTATCTGAGTCAATACAATATGCAAGCCTGCAGTTGTAGCTCGCACATTCATAGTGACTCTAGTTAATCTTAGTGGAACTATACCGGAGCATTTATCTATTGAAATACATACTATTTCATTATGAGTCATTAAAATGTATTAAACAGGTATCTATCCTTGGTGTTAAGGCATTGTTTTTTTAAAAGGTTAATTAGGTGGTTATTTGTAAATTCATTTAACATAAATGGTTAAATTAATTATTTATTCCGGCTGTGCCGAGCCTTCGCTGCTGGGCCTGGGACTGTCTAGTTGCACTGTGAGGGCTTCTCATTTCAGTGGCTGCTCTCGCGGAGCACCGGCTTTAGGCGCATGGACCGAGTCGTGGCAGCGCTCAGGCTCTAGCGCAGGGGCTCAGTAGGGTAGCATGGGCTACCCATCCCATGCACCTGGGATCTTCCCAGACTAGGGATGTAACCAGTGTGTCCTGCATTGCAAGGTGGATGGATCCTTAACCACTGGACCACTAGGTCCAGTTGAATCATTTTTAAAGACCATCATAAGAGTTACCTTTTCCTTACCTAAGACATTAAAGTCAGTAACTTCTGGGAAAGGACTGCACTGACAGCCTCAGAAACT